TATATATAAAGTTCATTATACGGAAAATTTTTATGTTATATACTGAGAGTATTTCGGGAACTGAGTCCTCGTAAAACACGTTACATGGTGTGTACCCAAAATAATGGTTGTATATAAAATTTCTCATAAGTCACGAGGCTATGCTTCTAAGACCGTTAAAATTTCCCAGAGGTTAATTTAGAAGTTCCATCATGATTCCCCAAAGAGAAAACCCCCACTTTTTGGGGTCCCTGAAATCGATGCTCCACATATATATATATATATATATATATATATATATATATATATATATATATTTATAAAAATTAAAATGGTTTAAATTATCAATAACATTGATTTAAGATTGCTTCAAGAAGCAATATCAATCAAACGTAAAAGTAAGTGTAGGGTAAGCAAGTTTTTTGGAAATGTATATAGAATCAGCCCCTACTTACATAGTATATATAGGTATAAAGTATATGTAAATATCGATTTTAATATAAAGTTCTTGCAGCACATCGCATAGTTTTGAAGAGCTGGAGACGAAAAATTTAGATGTACGCAAAAAATATAGATGCATTAATGGAGTCTTCTAAGCTTAACTAACTAAAATATTTTAATTAAACAATTTGGATTTACCTTAAAGATTTGAAATTCTTTACTTTACATTTATAATTAAATATTTTCCAACATCTCTTAAATATATATTTTGCTTCTCATATTGGATCTACTTATATCGCATAGCTTTCAGCCAACGCACACTTGAGTCTTTGTAATCCGTTTAGCAGTGCACCCTCCAAACTTTATGGCTCTGACTCAATTTGGAAAACTACAAGCTCTGCTCGTGCTTTCATTACCATCGCTCCCCCCCATACCCCCATTACGCCCTCATACCATTCTATCTACTTTACATAATGTTCCACCTTAACGGTTGTATTTCATGTGTAATCGTGTGTAATTTTTAAGAAAATTGCACGTTTACTCACACACCCACACACATGCAGACGAATAGACATACACACACACACACACTCGTGCCAGTGCATGAACATCCCCGACAACAACAACCCTAAAACAATGCAATGGCCAACAACAACTCAGCCAGAAAACTTTTTAGCTCACGTGTGTTCGGGTGTGTGTTTGTGTGTGTTATTGTCTGTGTGTGTGCGTAAGTAAATGTTGCATAAATAATTTTAACTGAATGACTTAATGTTGTGCTGGCCACCCTGTGGCATGGGGCGCATTATTGATTATTTTTCAGGCCGACACTCGCAAAGTTTGGCTGCCAAAAAGTTGCACCGAGGCCGCCCCGCCCCCTTCCCTGCCGTCGGCCAGATACGCAGGCTTAAAGAAGTCGCCATTCGCTTGGCATTTAATGTGCATTCTGTGCTAATTACAAATCAAAAGGCAATTTAATAGCCTGCGGCATAAATTGGAGTTTGGCTCAAGCCGGACGCAGTTTTCCAATCAGAAATTGCTTTGTGCCACATTTGAAGCGATACCTCCGAATGGATGGCAGAATGTGCTACAATTTAGTTTGACTATTAATTACAACAAGTGGCAGCAGCAGCCGTGGCAGCAACATGTTCAGCATGTTGCAGCTATGCAAAATTATTGATGATTTTATTAATTTGAATATTGGCGAGGAACTGCCGCTCCGGACCGCTCTCGAATGGGGCAAGACAAAACGCTGGCCAAGACATTGGCCGGTCGAGTGTCTCAAATGATAAATTTTTAGCAATAGAAAGTTGCATGGAGATTGCAATTTATAGCTAGATTTTACAGCAGCAACATGTTGCAAGCGCGTTGCGGCAACAAAATGAGTATAATTAGACCGGTTTGTAATGCGTTATGTGCGATAGGCCAGCGCATGTTGCAGATGTTGCATGTTGCTGCTGCTTACAAAAAAAAAAAAACAACAACAAACACATACCAGCACTTGATTTGAATTATAGCTGCCCGGCCATAGCGATAATTAATCGTGCTATTTAGTGTGCTACATGAAATTCTACCAGTTTGTCGGTTATTGATTAGATTTGCAGCAGCATAGTTGCTGCTGTTGCTGCTGCTGCAGGAAGCGCTGTTGCATGCTGCAAGTTGCTGCTCGCCTGTGCAATTTAGACAGAGTTTTAATATGCGCAAATTGTACTTAATTTGGCTGGCATATTTTGTCGCTGCAATTTTCCGTATTTACGACTAACTTTCACAACATGTTGCCAAGGTGCAGCAGCAACAATTGCTCATTAAGCCTCAACTCAGCCATCTCGTTCGCACGTGCCCATACACTGAGCCTATCAAATTATATTCTTGGCATGTCTCCTAAGTAGTTACCATACCTTTTCTCTCTCTGTAGAAATTATTTTGGTGTTGTTTCTGCTGCTGTGCATTCGTGTGTTGCTTTGTTTTGCATTGTTTGCTGCTTATGCATATGCCACATGCCTCGAACCGGGTGGGTGGCTCTTAGCCCAGACCAGCAGTTGGTTACGACCAGGGCCCAGACATTTGCATGCAATGTACAAAATTAATTATTACTCCTTCTCTGGCCGATGCGAGTGGCCTGTGCTTCGGCTCCTCGTGCTGTCCACTTCCTGTCCAAAATCTACAATACAACGTCTGCTGCCCTGACTCGGGCATTACATGTCCTGCACACAACTTGCAAGGCATCGTCCTCGCCATCCCGCCTGCCCACCTTCCCCAGCTTGTGGCTCATTATGACCAACGACGTCGGCGACGTGGCCGGAAAAGTGCGTTCGTTGACTGCTGCCGGCTGCCCAGTGTCGTCTGTGACTCGGACTCCCGACTCTGACCCCAGCTTCGACTCGACCTCCTTCTCTGAGTGCAGTTGCTGTTGTTGTTGATGACGTTGGTCATGGCGGCTTTGCATTATTACAACTGCAGACAGTTGTAGGCGAGTTGCCTGCATAGTTGCCGACAACAACAACAACTGCAACAACAGAAACTCAAACACACACACACTCAGACTCAGTGGCATACACATGCACATCCATTTGCATTATGCATTAAAATCAACGCCCGTTTTGTGTACCGAAGCCGAAGACAGGAACAACACATCCAGAATCGTAGCTCGACTTTCGCATTTAGTGTTCGATTTTCGACCAGGCGCCTCTATACGAGTAACACGCATTTTGTGGGTGTGTGCGTGAGACTGAGTTGGACACAAATGTCAAGGTATGGAAGCAAATGATTTGGGCATACTTTGCTGGTTGCCTTCATTTAGGCGCCTTAACTCGGCTCAGTCAATTTGCAGTTTACCCATTGAAGCATAAAAGGCTTAAACTAGACATCTATTTGATGTCGAAATCTTCTTGAAATCTTGTCAAATAATGCAAGTACGAGAACAGAAGCTTTTAACATTATGTAAATATTCCCTATTTTTTTTTAAAGATTTTTAATTTTTTTCTTTTATTAGTTCACTAAGTTTTTATTTTGTCGAATTTATTTTTAAGTATTTTTTTATATTTTTATTTTTTTTTAATTAATGTAGTTATTTGTATTTTTATTTTGATCAGTTATGTTTTGTCTTATAAAATTTAGAGACTATTTCTCATAAGATTTCCTCATGGCCTGAAGTCTTAAGCACATCCCTCCATGATTTATGAAAAAAGTTTCGCACATACACTGATCTCTTATATACACAAAAGACTTTCGCATTTATATAGCTCGAAACATATGTATGTATGTATAACAAAAACTTTCTTGCCAGACGTGACTCATTCCCTTTCAGAGTCTGGACCCCGTCCCGCCAGGCATATAAATTATAATGCGGAGTAGGTGTAAAATTTTCGATTACGACAGGCGGCGGGCAGCCCTAACCACCCGCTGGAAGCCACACTGCGCTGCTGTAGCTACTTTGCGAATCCCCTTCTTCCACGGCGGAGTCATTGTCCAGTGCAGGTCGTCGTGGCTTGCAAGGACATGCACAGGACTCGGACTCGAGGCAACGTTTTGCATTTGCAAAATTATGCGGCATGTGTGCGACGCTTCCCACACCAAAGGCCCGCCTCCGCCTTTTCCGCTTCCCCCTTGCCGCTGACGCTGCTTTTGGCTTTTGTTATTTTGTTTGTTGCTTTTGCTGTGTTGCTGTGGTCAACCGGATGGCAACAGGGATAATTAATGAAATTAATGCGCTTGGGCATGAGTTTTAAGTGCACGAAATATATTCGATAAATGTAAATTCTAAATTATGAGCCGTAGCAGGCAAAAGGCACAGGTACAGTCACCATTTAGCCAAATGCCCGTCGATAGGGTTGTTCGCATAACCAGCTGCATTTTAATGGCAATTAACTTCCGTAGACACATTGGCATACCTATTAAGAAATTTCACAAATATTATACCCTCGAGGTGCCGAAAATTAGATACTCTTGCGAAATTAATTTTATATCTTTTCGATATAAAAAAGCTCCTACAGGTCAGAAGTTAAGTTTTTGTATGAGGACACTTGTATTCCGGCAGGGATATATTTAAAATTCAGGCTGATAAATGCTCTTTTTATTGTTTCCAGATATTTCAAGTATTATTATATTATTATTATATTAATGCTAAGCAAGGGTTCAGCCAGCCGTTAATAGGTCTTAGACGGATAAAGCAACAGGTTATATTCTTAGCTAAGGTAGAAATTATATGTAGAACTATTATTCTAATTAAAATATTACTGTAAGACTTCAAATTTCACTTTATTTCGCGCAATAGCATATTGATTTTATTAATTAGATGATTACAAATAGAAAATAATTTAGTTCTATCAAACCTATAAGCTAATATGCCGAATAGTTGCTGACAAAGCAGACAAAGGGGAACTCGAATCCTGCTGCACAGCGTTAAATTTTGTCATATATACGAAATATAACTCATGCAAGTCATTCATTTATTGTTTACACCCACACGATGACAACCTGTTAAGATGATCCTTTGAAGCTGAACTGTTTGATTAAAGGCAACTCTTGACTTCTTTGCTCACCTTTCTTGCAGACGGCGCACACAATGCGAGCGGGTCAGTGACATGGCCGAGGGCTGCGAGGACTCTGCCGGCGCCGCTGAATCCACCACGTCACAGTATAAGCTCGACAAGATGCTGGGTACGGTGCTGCCCTGCGAGGCGGCTATTGTAGCGACGCCCGGCAGCAGCAGCAGCAACAACAATAACAACAATAACAGCAGCAGCAACAGCAACAACAACGGCAGCAGCAACAACACTGCCAGCAACATTGTAAAGCGAGAGTTTTGCGATGGCAGCATCATGCCAGGTGCTAGTGTCAACAACAACAACAGCGCCGTCAGCAACAATAACAACAACAACAACAATACCAAAATGCAAGCATTGATATGCAGCAGCAGCAGCAACAACAATATTAACAGTAGCAACAATAACAACAACAGCAATGCCAACAGCAGCAGCAGCTCATCATCATCCTCCTCCTCCAGCTCATCCAGCTCGTCCAGCTCGTCAGCCAGCACTTTGACCAGCTGTACCACCGCGGCCGTAGTGCCCTCCAATTGCTCCACAAATGCCAACAAGTCGCCCGGTTCGCCCTACTCCCAAAGCGGCACGATCGGCATCGGCGTCGCCCTCGCCAGCCCCCTGCGCGAGGCCAGCCCGCTGCTCAGCCGCTGCTCGCCAGCGGCCGCTGCGGCGCAGTCACCATGTGGCGGTGCCACGCCCGCTTCGCCGCCATCTGTCTCCTCCAACAGCTCGTCGCATGTGCTGGCGCTCAACATCAAAACCGAGTCGGTGAGTCGCTAAACGCAAACATTTCCAATTAGAATTTTCTAATCAGAGCAACTGCGTGAGTCGTGCTTAAGGGGGTTAAATGAAGCGCAATCGAAATAGATCAGCTGGGCGGATAAAAACGATCAAGTGCATAGTTGAAGAGATAATAAAACAAAATTAATTGCGTTTTTAATAGAAAAATGGGGTATTATAAACCAAATTCGATTCTTGCATTATTTATAAAAGTTAGTGCCTTTTTGAAATCGAAAATGTAGTGCAATATTACGAATCACGCAGAAAACTATATTTAACTCCTCTAAAATCTATTCTAAACTCTTGCCATTGACACGAAAATAGTCTCGCTTGGTTCTGCGTGACAAATAATATGGTCACGCGCGCATCTCTAGTTGAATACTTAAATTGGTTTGCATTTAATTAGCATGCAAGCGGCGCGGCGATCATTAATTAGTCGCGGCACCGACTGGCTAATCATGAAATCAGCGAGCTTGCCGCAAAATGTTGCCACTACAACAACTTTGACAATTCCTGCAACTCAGGCCGAGCGTCAAGGGCAAACTTGGCGTCAAACATTTTACGCTACAAAACGTTATAAAGCAGCCGCAGGCTGAAGCCATGTCGTGCGCAAAAACAAAAACAAAACAACAATAACAAAAACAAAACAAAAAACGAGTAAATAAATAAAAAACAAATGCCGAAAACTTAATACAACAGCGGCAGCAACACTCGGTCAAATATTTGTCCCAATTTTAATGACCATAAAAACTGAGCAAAAAACAAAACAGCGACAACAACAACAACAACACCAACAAAATGAGATCACAAAAAAGTTTGTGCAATTGTCAGCAATAAATAAAAAATTTCGCATGTCCTCGTTGGCTCAGTTCGCTTGGGCTCGCATTGGCTTTGCCTGGGCTCGATCTGTGCCTGCTGGCGCATAGTTGCTTGGCGAATCAGCAGAAACCAACAGCAACAACAACAACAAGAACAACAGCAACAATGCCAATAGGAAAACAACATTGAAGACGCCGATCCGTCGATAGCCGAACCGAGCTTAAATCAGTTTTTTTTTTCTCTCAAGTTTCAAGTTTATTTTTGTTTAATTTTAAGTCTAAGGCGATTGTTGTCGTTGCTCGTAAAATTGGGCTAAATTATGGCCGAAATGCTGTCCCTTTTCGAGTAGGTTCAGGCTGACAAAAGCAATAAAGGCAATTACAAATTTCGGATCCATAAAATTATGATGTGCAGCAAATTTAGGCAAACAAATCAAAATTGTATATTTTTTCGAATCATTAATTTTAAACCATATTTTCTTTTTCTATTATATAAACATTTTTTCCATCAAATTTAAATTTAAATGAATTCAAATCTAAATCTTCCTGATTGAGTGAAAAAGAAATTGTATTCAAATTGATTCACAAGTAACTGCAATTATAAAATAATCGAATTGTTCTCTTTGTTGGCCATTCCATATTCGATAAATAATAGAAACATATTTGATATCTTTGACCGCATTTTGGCTTTGCTCGCTTTGTCTCTGTCCGATCCGCATTCATTCTAATGACACAATCAGCTCACACGACACGCACACACAACGAGTGACACCCTCTCATGCGATTTAGGCCCCCTCTTATCCCTGCCAGCGACCCCTGCATACCGCCTGCCGTTTTCCCTTGAGCAAATCATGCAACTAAAATGCGACTTGTAATGCTCAAAAAGCCAAACAAAATGTTGTAAAAAGCAATTAATAAAAATAAAGCAATCAAAAAAGTGCATAAAATTTATGTGCATGCAGTCAAATGAGTAATCGCCTGATCCAAACACACACACACACACACACACACACACACACACACACACAATAGAGTCAGCAGCAACAACAAGAGCGACAATAATAAACCAGCAGCATTTATTGAAAATTAAACAAAAAAGAAACGACAGCAGCAAGAAAAAAAATCGCATAAGCCAAATAATAAGCGCAAAATAATCAGCACACACACAAACACACACTCTCACACACACATTCACTCACACACTCGTACAAAAAAAGAAATAAATTTATATTGGCGACTGGAAACAAGAAAATCCAGGTGCTATAAAGATCGTATTAAAGGCCACAGAAAAAAAGAGTGAGAAAAGCCAAGTTTTTAAAATACCGAAATTTACATACACTTGCAAGGATAGCAAAAGTTGTAAAATATTATTCCTAAAATTAATTAATTAATCAATTTAGTTTTTAGTTTAAATTAATAACAATAGTCTCATAACAACTATGACGCCTTGTGAAAAGTGTTTGCCACAATTTTAGTTGCACAGCCTCAAGACATTGGCGAGCAACTCTGTTGTAAGGGTATTTCGAGTTAAGCAACTTCACAATAGCGCACTGACAGCAGCTGGGGAAGCGGAGCTGGGTGCAGTTCACAATATATTACAGCTAATTATGATCGGGGCAGTCGGGCAGCCCATTGGCTACGCAATTTGACGGCTTTGGCAGCGCAACTGCAATTTCAATGCTGCATTTGAGGCCAAGGCGGCAGCCAGCCCGCTGGGTGACTCATGTTGGCAACTGCAGCGTCTAATGAGCCTGCTCAGCCCGAGGCTTGGCCCGGCCGGGCTCTGGTGAAAGCACCGCAGTCCGCACATGTACTCTAATTTAAAGTCTAAAGTCGCTAATTACAAGCTGCGCTGAATAAGCACAGGCTGGTTGCACTATTCGCACTCGCACTCACACTCATGTTCATACTCATACTTACGCCTTTACTCGCTTTACAGCGCACATGTTGCGCATGTGCAATGAGGATGCCTTCTGCTGCGTGGTGGCTGCCACGTTTGACACGGCTGCGGCTACGTGAGTGCCAAGCGGATTTCATGTGCGCTGCCTCTTCTGCCCTGCTGGGTGGGTGTGTGTATGCGTGTGTGTGTGTGTAGAGTGTATGAGTGTGCTTTCGCATTCACATCTGCAACGTCATCATCATGATGATCGGCAAGAGCACAGAACAGCAACTGGCAGCTAAGAGTGGCAACCGGTTTCTGCATTTACTTTAAATGTTGCAAATATTTAAAGCGGGATTATCCACAAGCGAACCGGAGGCCTGGCCTGGTTCTGGGCCCAGTTCTGGGGCTTGTGCTCCCTACCTCTCTCCCGTCTCTCTGTCCACCTCTCTCTTCCACTCTCTGGCCTTAGCTGCATGGCATGTAAATCGTTTGTAATTAGTTAAGAGTCTCTACGCGTCAACGTTTAAAAGGAGCAGACAATAATTGCTTATTAAAAAGAATGTTTTCTGCAACAATTTTTATGACCGCCGAGCAGCGCGAAAATTGACTGCAAATGAGGTGAGTGAACAGCGCGATAAAGAAATCAACCCGCAAATACCTTTGAATTGGGCTCAGCAAAAAAGCGCAGAGTGCATGTGCTCAAATAGGTGTTTATTGGTGATTTAAATAATTAAAGTCTGAAGATATAATATGTTATTATTAATTATTTTATTATATATTATACATTTTATATTAATTTTTTAAATTTTCAAATAGTATTTTATAATTTGAAAGTAAAAACTAATATTGAAAAAGTAACAAATTCGTTTATTTTATAATTGGAACTAAATACAAATGCTTTTTATATTATCTAATATACCAGACTTTTAACATATAATTTAATATTAATATTAATATTTTTTTTTTATTTTTTTCAAGTTATATGAATCCTAGAAATTAACTAAATTAAACAAAAATATCATTTTATTTTCTTGGTATTACAAACAACTTTTAAATTAGTCTATCAATAAATCAAGTTTCGTGAGCAACTTTTATCAATTAATTTAGTTATCTCGCTGAAAAATTAATTAATCTCCACTTTACATATTTTCAATATCCTCGACTTACTATTTACGAAGAGTTTCCCAAGCTGAAGCAGCAACTACAGCGGCAGCAGGTTCTCAGCTTTAGTCCCACATTCGACACGCCTTCACCGTCGCTTTCACATGGCTGACATTTGACAGGCTCTTCGGCTGCCCCCAAAAACTCAGTATTTATGTGGATAATGTTTCCCCCCGCTGTCTGAGGTGTAAGTGTAAGTCGCAGCCAAGACAAGACCCAAATTCCATACGGACAATTTGTGGTTTTTTCTTTATTATTTTTTGTTGTATTAATTCAAAATTAATTGCAAATAAATTACAAAGCAATTTGTGTGTCGGACGATTGTCGTTGTTGTTGTTGTCGGTAGTTGTTGTTGTTCTTGTTGTTGTTGTTGTCGGTATTGTTGCTGTTTCTGCGTGCTGCTGCTGCGGCTGTCGTTCTTGTTGTTATTGTTGCTGCGGTTGCTCCGTCAGCTGCATGCAACTTGAAATTGGCAGCGTATTTAATTATAAATTAATTATAATGCAAGCTGTACTTATGCACGTCCACGTAATGCCAATAATCATCAGGCGCTGCATTTATGGGCCGATATTATATGGCAAGTTGATTTTTTTTGACGTTGAGCTCATTTTTCATTTTATACACCCCCTGCACCCCAACACCACCCCTTCTGTTCTCAGCGGAGGCCTTGACTTGCCTTAATTTCATTTTACTTACGCAAAAAAAGACAGCAAATGGCAAATTGTCTTCGTCTTAATTATGATGGGTATTAAAAAATTATTAACAATGTTGTTGACGTTGCCCACAATTCTGAAGTTGTGTTGTTGTTATTGATGCTTGTGCAGTTATTGCTGCTTGCATTTGTTAAGTAGTATAAGCTACAAATAGAGCTGGAGACTCCGTTCGCGCTTGGATATGACAAGCATGTGAACAACTCCACCTGCCCGCTGATAGTGGCGGCTAAGCGTATTAAATATTTTAAAATTTGAATGCTAATGGGAAAATGAGCTAATTTTGTGACTATAAACTTTTAAAATGAGACATTTAAGCGTAGGATAAGTGAATCCTTCTTAAAGGCAATTCTCGAGCGGAATACAAATTAAAAGGAGAAAGGGGGATCATATGTCATTCAATAAGCACATAAAATT